GACATTCACTTATTTTACTAAAATGATGACCCTAATCAATCAGATTTAGTGAAATACCCAGCTAGGTACCTCCTCCTGCAAATGTTGTGATGCCCAAACTCTAACTTTGTGCAAGGGCTGGATCAGATCGTGACATGATCATTCCTTGCTTCTTTTAGAAGCCAAAGTTGTGTCCTGGGGCATCAGCCCAGCCTGGCACCCAAAGTCCCTTGCCACTTCCCAGGGACCATCCATTATGAAGTGATTATATTTCAGCCCCAACCACATCCTGAAACTCAGCTTTGCAGTACTGCCTGACATTGAAATGGCGCTTGGGTTCTCGGGACTCCCTGGTGGCTCTGCGCATAGAGAGCACTAGAGGGAGAGTGTGAGGCTCCATCCTGTCCTGCTGTCCACTGCTACAGGAAGGAGGCTCTTCCTCCTTGACCCTTTCCCGATTGCTGGAGGTTTCTGTAAACATGGCCCCAGCAAGAAGTCCTCCTCCTGACAGCCGAGATTCCTTCCTGTAGCCTCAGCCGGATCCAGGCTGCGGGTTTCCCCACACTTTAGAACCCGCCCCAGACACAGCATGGGATAGAAGGCGGAGCGGCAGCTCTGCAGACCCCCCCACTTTTTCTCCCCGAGTCGTCCTGGTACCCTTGCACGAGGTTGTCTTTGCCACCATCATGGTATTCACTTACCCTTCTGCACTTTCAATTAACCAGATAATGATTCTTTCCACTGCATTTCCTCTCAAATAACTGGTGCTACACAGTGAAATGTATGAAGTAATTGCTGGCACTCCCCCTTCAGAAATAGTCACCGAATGCCACCATTTCTTCTGTGTTTAAACACTCAAACAAAACATTGCTGGGCTGGGGTTGTGGCTCAGTGGTAGAGCGCTCACCTAGCAAGTGTGAGGCACTGGGTTCGATCCTCAGCACCACATATAAATAAATGAATAAAACAAAGCTCCATCAACATCTAAAAAATTTACTAAAAAAACATTGTTAATAAACATCAACAAAAACTTTGGCTCTCGCCTTATTTAAAATATGATACAGAAATTTAGTAAATAACTTGGAAGACACTATACCTATGTCATAAGCCCTAAAACAGTTTTGTAGGTTAGTTTTCCTACGAAAGTGACCCAGAGTCTACAGAACCCAACTCAGATGAGCATCCACAGCCTGAGGTTGGTGTGATGCTCAATGAGCCCCTCATGGTCAGAAGGGGGAACACTGTGGTAGTGCTGGAGATACAAGTCGCAAAAGAGGCCCTCTGTTCCAACCAGTCAAGTCTGAGACAACTGCCGAAGAGGCTCACGGGATTGTGGGCAAGCTGCCTACTCTGGCTCTGGAGGATCCAGCGGGAGACCAGGGTCACATGGCAAATGAGATTGCTCCAAAACACTGATAAAGAGAAAACCAGAAAGGCCTCCAGGGGGCTTAGCATGTGTGAGGTCCTGGGTTCAAATCCCAGAACAAGAGAGGAAGGAAGGAGAGAGAGGAAGGAAGGAAGGAAGGAAGGAAGGAAGGAAGGAAGGAAGGAAGGAAGGAAGGAGCCAGAGATGGGGAAACATTACAGAGAGAGGAACAAAGATAAAAACAACAGCAAATGTCTCTTTAAATCACTCAAAGGAAAAAAAGGACGTTGCCAACCTAGAATTCTTAGCCCAGTGAATATATCTTTCAAGCACAAAGGTGAAATGCTGATTATTTCCAGATACACAACAGTGGAAAGGATTTGCCAGCATATCTGAGCTGCCGGAAATGTTACAGGAAGTCCTTCGTGCCAAAGCGCCATGATAGGAGACGGGAACATGTAGCCACCCAAAGACCAGCATCCTGCAAATGTCACCACACGGGTAAATATAACCAATAGCTTTCTTGATGCTTAAGTTTCTGGAAAAAATAATGAATTGCTCAAAACAAATAACAACAACAACAACAACAATGTCTTGTCCTGGAAAGAACAAGGAACAACTGGAACTTTCGTGCCCTGCTAGTGGGGATGTAAAATGATACAACCACCCTGGAAAACAATTTGGCAGTTTCTTAAAGCCTGCAACACGTACCTACCACAAGACCCTGCCATTTCACTGATAGGCATTTGCCCAGGAGAAATGAAAGCACATGTTCACACAAAGACTTATACACAAATGTTCCGAGTAGCTTTGTCTGACAAGAACTGGAACAACTGAAATGTCCACCAGCAGATGAGTGGCTAGACAAATGTTGGAGCCATACGATGGACAGAACTGTGGATGAACAAAGCTGAAATCCTGAACTTTAAAAGGCTGGGGATGTAGCTCAGTGGTAGAGCACTTGCCCAGCAGGTGCGAAGCCCTGGGTTCAACCTCAGCCCGCGCGCACACACACACACACACACGCACACACACTTTGAGATAGAAAAAGATGATATTAACAGATCTGAAGCAAAACTAATCAAGAAGAAAAAAAGAGAAGATACAAACAAAAAACTATTGGCATGTAAATGAGGACAGAGTAGAGAGGCAGCAGAGAAATAAAATGAAAATAGAGAATATTATTAACAGCTTTATGCCTGAAGTATTCTCCTGGAAAATTAGATGGAGCTGCAAAAAAAAAATGTTTTTAAATAACAAAACAGAATCAAGATTTAAAAACTTGAATAGTGCAATAACATTTAAGGAAATAGAATCTGTGGTTGAAAATATTCCCACAGGGCTGGGGATGTGGCTCAAGCGGTATTGCGCTCGCCTGGCATGCGTGTGGCCCGGGTTCGATCCTCAGTACCACATACAAACAAAGATGTTGTGTCTGCCGAAAACTAAAAAATAAATATTAAAATTCTCAAAAAAAAGAAAATATTCCCACAAAGAAAACACCAGGCTCAGATGATTAAAAGGTAAACCTTACAGACATCCAAAGAACAGAGAATCTGAATCTTATACGGATAGTTCCAAACACTAAGAAAGAGAAAACACTCCATCCAATTCATTTCATGAAACTTGAATCACTTTCATAACAAAACAAGAGAGAAACATAAGAAAAGGGAAAGATGATAGGCGAATCTCATCCACCAACAGAGAACCGAAACCGTAAACATCATATTAACAAATAGAATCCTGCAAAAATGGTTGGGTGTGGTGGTACACCCCTGTAATCCCAGAAGCTCAGGAGGCTGAGGCGAGAGGATCATGAGTTCAAAGCCAGCCTCAGCAAAAGTGAGGCCCTAAGCAACTCAGTGAGACCCTGTCTCTAAATAAAATACAAAATAGGATTAGGATGTGACTCAGTGGTTGAGTGCCCCTGAGTTCAATCCCAGTAACCCCCCCCCCCCCGCCTAAAAAACAATCCAGAAAAAAAAAAATCACACATTGTGCCAAGTTGGATTTATTCTAGGAATACAAACTTGATTAGAAAATCTGTTAATGTAATTCAACCTATTAACATATTAAAGGAGAAAAGGTTATCTAAGTAGATGTAGAAAAGTCAATATTCATCAAAATAAAAACCCTTTGTTAACTCACATGAGATGGGAACCTCTCATAAAGGTGTCTATGAACAATTTAGTCAGAAGCAGACTCAAATGCACATATTACTAATATAAAGATTATAATAAATGAGATAACAATGCCAGTGGTCTGTGCTGCCTTTCAGCAATGTGCCGGAGATCTTGAGATGCACAGTAAGAAAAGAAAAGGAAAAAAACTATGAGGACTGGAAAGGAACAAAACTAAGTGTCTGCAGGTGATGTGGTGTAGACAGCCCAGGATAATCAGTGGACAAACACCACGGAACAACGAGAGCTCAATACGTGAATGGGTGACCCAGATGTGAACACACACACCTCCTCACTTTTAGACAGGCTCTGAACTCAGAAGTTTAAAAACAAAGAAAAAATATATCTATGTGCTAATCTTTACGCCTCTTAAAAGTATGAATAGCAGCAAAATACTCCCATTGAAATAGTCAAACAGATGAACTCATCACCAAGGTCCTGTCTTGGGGTCCACGCAGCCCTTGGCCACTGGGTCCCAGGCCACCTCTCTAGCACCATCTCGTCCTGCTGCCCACTCCCAGCTCCTCATTCCGTCCCACCGGACATCTTAACACGTCTGCTGTTTTCTGCATGGACTTCTTCCCTCTGCTGCCCCACTCCTGCCCCTCACCATGTCCTTTGATCTCAGCCTAAACATCACTGCTCCCTGAGGGAGCCTTGCCTGATCCCCACATGAGGGGACGTCCCTCGTTACCAGCTGCCACGGTACCCTGACACCTCCCCTTCTATACTATCCCTCCTTTATGTCTAGTGTCTGATTTCCTTGGTAAACTGTCAGCTCCATGAGGGCAGGAGCTGGGCCTTCTTCTCCACTGTCACCAACACCTAATAAAGGGCCTGATAAACGTAGTTCTGTGGTCTGAATGTTTGTCTTCCTCCAAATTCTCAAGTTGAAAGAAAACCTAACCCCCTGACCCAGGTGATGGTGTGAGGAGGTGGGGCCTTGGGAGGTGATGAGGTCAGGGGTGGAACCCACATGAATTGGGTTAAAGTCCTTGTAAAAGATCCTCAAGGAGAGCTCCTTTGCCCCTTCTGCATATCCACAGGGAGAAGATGGCTTTTCATGAGCCAGGAAGCCGACCTACACAGACACCAACCTGTTGGAGCCTTGTCTTGGACTTTCCAGCCTCCCCAACTGTGAGACATAAACTTCTGTTGTTTATAAAGTACCAGTCCATGATGGTTTGTTATAGCAGCCAAAATGGACAGAGGTACGAGGTATTTAATATGTGACAAAATAAGATGGGACAGGGGGTGGAAAAATCCTTTCCTCTCTGCACTAGAGAGTGGAAAGAGGACTTACATGGTGGTGGAGTGAGGGGAATGGGGGTGTGACTTTGCTTTCTGGGGAACCATCTCCATCCGTGGTGGAATATCACTTTTTTTTTTTTGGACTAGGGATTGAACTCAGGGGCACTTGGCCACTGAGGCACATCCCCAGCCCTATTTTGTTTTTTATTTCTTTTAAAGTCCATTTTGCCCAAAGGCAGTTTCCCAACCACAGAAGGAATGGGATCTTTCTTGGAAATCACAATATCTAATCAGTTATTACTGGTGAACTGCACTGCTGGGAAGAAATATTGATAAAAAATGCCAAGTCCCCAAACAGAACCTCTCACCTTGGCGTCTCGCGGTGCAGACTTAGTTACGCTGTGGAGGCCATTCGGTGAAATAGATAGAAAGATTGTGGAATGCTAAGAGGAACATTCCTTTGGCCAATTAGATTTAGTAGTTTATTTGAACAAGCAAAACAAAACAAAAGGAAGCAAAACAAAGTAAAGCAAAAAAAAAAAAAAAAAAAGGTCTAGAGAATCAGGCAGCCTCCAACCCAGAGCAGGTTGTGAGAACTCCAACCCACAGCGTGATCTGACAGTTATGGAAAGTGGAAGTGGGGTACAGAGACAACTTAATTGGCTACAGCTTAATTAGTTAATTGTTTCCAGGGCCTCCTGCTTTAATTAAAGCTCAGCTACTGTGATTAAATTCCAAATTGGTTTGGTCTGTTGGTTAGCGCAGGAGCCTAGTTCAAATAGACGGCACCTACAAAACTTTATTTAACCAGAATATGGGATTAGGAGACCTGGATTCAAGCCTAATTCCAGAACATCCTGGAGAAACCTCTGGCTTCAGGCTCATTGTTGTTATAAGTGGGTGCATCCTTACACCTCGTGTTATGAGGATTTAAAAAAAAAAAAAAAAGTTAAATTGAAAGTGGTTTTTACAAACTCGAAAGTGTTATAAAAATGATGTAATTTGTAGAATAACAGGAGATTTTGGCCTTTGGTTTATTGGGGAGGGAGTAATTATAATTTAACATGGTAAGGAGTTGATGGATGATAAAATGCCATGTAAATGCCTTAACAAACACATTCCAGGACCAGAATAAATTACACTGCATTAGCTTACCGTGTCAGAGTGGTCTGTGAACCAAGATTTGCCTAAATTTGCAAAGAAACATGGGATTTGGAGTTTTAAAAATCATTCCACGATTTGTCTGCTCATGGACCCTTGGTTCCGGCACTTTTTAGAAGGGTAGGCGCTGAAGTGTGTGTGGTGTGGGAAACGCAAATACCCCTCTTGGCCCATTTCCCTGTCCTTGTACTGGGTATCAGGCCAAGAGCTAAAGGGAACTTCCAGGACAGGAAGCAGGCAGGGGAGGGGGGCGGAAGGAAAGCTTCCTGGGCTTCACAAGATCACTGTCAGCTCTTTGGTGACACCTGCAGACCAAGGAGAGACAAGTCACAAAATGCCTTAGGCCAATATCAGTGCGATTTCTAAAGCCCCGAGGCCCAGGCAGTCACCTGGAGGAGGCCTTCAGATGCAGATTCCCACTGGGGCCCAGATCTGCCCTCTCCAGGAGCTCCAAGTGATGCTTTTGGGCTGCTTGTCCACAGCCACCCGGAAGGGACTTTCAGAGCAGGGACTGTCAAAGGTGGAAATGACGGAGCAGGTCCTCTTACAAATGGAGAGCATGCAAGAGGTTTCTTTCCCTAAGCCTGGTTTTCTTGTCTGTAATATCAAACCATGTGAGCTCAGAAAGTCTTTCAAAGACAGCAGAAAAAGCCACATTTGTCACTTTGGCATGAGGATTATTTTGAGCTGGAAGCAATTTAGAAGAAACAGATACAAGAAAACCTCCCTACCCTCCCTCTGTATGTCTAAAAGTAGAACAAAACCTTGTCCCTTCTCCCCTCTCCATCAGGAAGGATTAAGTCCATCCCCAGAGATGGCTTGAGACCCATATTAGCCAGGACTAGGCCAGGGGAATCTATGTGCCAATCTCGACTGTCAAGTCTCTACCTACAGTGAGTTCCCCACACCTTTGCCTTCCCACACTTTGCCGCTCATAGAGACTCACAGTCTGATTCCTTTGTTCATCATTTGTCTGAAAATGCATGGCCCGGTACATGTATGACTGAACATGTGGTGCGAGGCTATGTCATGTACAACCAGAGAAATGAAAAGTTGTGCTGCAGTTTGTACAATGAATCAAAATGCATTCTGCTGCCATATATACCTAATTAGAATAAATTAATAAATAAATTAAAAATGCATCGTTTACTGTTGAAGAGACTAATGAGCAAGAATTTGCAGATGACATCTTTGGTAGTTACTCTTTCCCTGGTTTTTCTTTCGTGTATACATGAAACATACATTTTAATACACTTGATTTTCTCTTGTCAATCTGTATTTTGTTTAAGGGTCCCAGAAAAGAAGTTACAAGGGTAGAGGGAATATTATGTTTGCCTCCCCTGCACTTCTCAATTCTAATATATGACAATGAGATCGCTTGCCCAGAGCCGGGCTGCTCGACAGAGCGGTGCACTCCTCATCTTTGCCCCTCAAGAGATTAGGCTGATTAGACTGGATGGCAGAGGCCACCAAAGATCAATCTGAGAGCCAAAAGCCATGGATATAAAAATGGCTGTCTCATACAATGGATATTTTTATCCCTGTCTTTGATATGCTGCTTGGTGGGGAAAGTAACCAGTTTTAGATGCGGTAGAAGATGTTCCTAGTTTCCAAACAAAACTTATATTTTCCAGATGGTAGGAGCCCAATCTAGATTGCCTGGGGAGAGGGAAAGGGGACTCTCGGAGTTAGAAATAACATTAAGTCCTTCTTACTATTATTTCTGGCCACAATAACAAAGAAAAGCAAACACCTCCAAACAGACTGCTCCAGCCAGTCATCTTCCAGGTGACAGTGGTACTTCCAAGCTGACTTTCACGGATCCTCAGGGTATCTGCTTCCCCAGGTCCTGTGGGGAGTGGGGACGGGGTCCTGGGGAATTCACAATGCCTCCTGGTAGCCATGCTAGGGGGGAAACAAATAGGACTATTGGGTTTTGATTCGAGGATGTTTAAAGACAAATTCAACTATATTAGCTATAATTGGTCCAAGCTTTGGAATGAATTACCTTCAAAAAATAGCTGACGCCACACTTTATAATCCAGGGATTTGGAACAGATCACCCCCAAACCACAATTAATTGGCAGAATATGGAAAATAAGCACTGACTCATGGAAGTCATTAACACAGCCATTTAAAGGAATGGTTAAGCTATATGAACTTAGAGACGCAGAATCGACTCTCGTGTATGCAATCTGGCGCGAGGTAGTGGAAAATTCCCCGAACCGGGAAGCAGAAGATAAGAGCTTTGCCCCTGAATCTTCCCCTTACTGGATGTGTGTCCTGCGTCTCTCCAGGATTCAACTTTTTACATCCGTGAGGTGAAGGATGATCTCCCCGTTCCCTTCCAGGCTCAGGATTTTATTACCTCAAAATGAGGAGAGCCCAAAGTAAAATTTACAACTTCTACAGAAGAAGAATGTCCTAGCAAGACCCCCGTGGACTCCGGGGTGGAAGGCAGCGCTCTCTGTTCTGTTCTGGTGGGTCCCGGGGAGCTGCAGACGGCAAGCTGCTCGTCGGCTGGGGCCTTGGTCACACTCAGGGTTTCTCCTCCGCAGGCAGAGAGTGTACACAGCAGGACCCTGGGCTTGTTGAGTGGAGGAGGGCCTGAAAAGAGTCATCTTAATTTAGAAATCCGCAGGTTCAGGCAAAGCTTCAGTGCAGTTTCCTTCCCTGTACGTGCAATGACAGTCCTGTTTCCTCTTTAAGTCCAAATTCCAAACGAGACCACTGCTGACTCTGTTTCCTGACTCCCAGCCCCCACCCCCAGCATGTCCGGATCCATCTACCCATTTAGGGCCACTGACAAAGTCACAAGCTTACTGATGACCTCCGTGTTGGTAAACCAAGCAGCCCTCTTATGGGACCTCTCACCAGTTACAGTTTTCTCTCTTAAAATCTCTTAAAGCTTAACCCTGCTGTCCGCCTTCTGTTTGGGGCATGCTCCTGGGGCTTGGTGCCCTCCCCCTCTTTGGGTTTCCCTCTGCCTCCCAGGATTGCTTGTCCCCAGCACCCTTCCCAGGCTCACCATTCCCCCTGGAGTGCTGGAGCGCCACAAGATCCAGCCCCAGACTGAACCCAGGGCCTTCCTTGTGCATGCGAGGTAAGCACTCTGCCAACTGAGCTATGTCCCATCCCCATTAACAATTAGGCAGATGCTTCAGCAAAGAAGATCTGCCTGTCAAGTGGGTGCATGAAAAGATGCTCAACAGTGTTAAAGCCGCACCACTGACCTACCCCAATGACCAAAATTTAATAAACAACAGCAAAACCTGAAAACCCAACAACATATATTAGAAGTGAAGATGCAGGGCAACTAAACCTCATACCTGCTGGCAGGTGTACAAAGTGACACAGACATTTTGGAAAATAGCTGAATTGTTCTATTTATCATTAACCATAAACTTTGACAAGCCAGCACCCTGATCTAGGTATTTATGCTAAAGGTGTGAAAACCTGTATTCATATTAAAAGCCTGTATGTGGCCGGATGCAGTGGTGCACACCTGTAATCCAAGTGATTTGGGAGGCTGAGGAAAGAGAATCACAAGTTCAAGACCTGCCCCGGAGACTTAGCAAGACCCTGTCTCAAAATAAAAAATAAAACAGGGCTGGTAGATTACCAGTGGTAGATTACTCCTGGATCATACACGGTACTGTTTTTTTTTTTTTTTAAGGCTACATGTAGAACTTTACAGCAGCATTATTCATCAATACTGAAAAGTGGAAGCAACCCAAGTGTCCTTGAGCGGCTGAGTGGCACATCCCAGGTGATGTCACATTACTCAGTAACAGTCAGAAAGGGCCCACAGCACAGATGGCTCTCAGATGCACTCTGCTAAGTGAAAGAAGCAAGATCCCGAAGATTATATGCCATATGTTTTCACTTATAGAACATTCCTGAAAAGGTGAAAATATAGAGGCTGAGACTGCCGCAGTGATTGACAGTTTTAGGAATAAGGGGAAGATGTGACTACAGAGGAATTTGGGGCGAGATGAAATTATGATGTGTCCCCATTGTCGTGATGGTTATGAGAATCTAGGCATTTGCCAAAATTCCTGAACTTTACTATATGTGAATTTTAAAAATGTAAGTACAATATGTCCCAAACCAAGTCTGGAACCCCGTCCCTCCTCCAGGACACGCTGTGCTGCATCCTCCTCCAGCTCAACAGGGCTGGGCTCTGTGGCAGCTAGGCACAGGTGGGGTGCCAAGAGTCCCTGCTGCCACTCCACCTGCAGTCACTCCCTCCCTGGACTCTCTGCTTCACATAGACCTTCTCAGCCCTCGCCTTTTAGATGCAACTAATCTCCCCATTCTGCTCTTGCCTGCCGCCAATCAGTGTTCCAAAGAGCTGCCCGAACAAACTTTTAAAAAGTGCTCATTTGGTCACTGTCCCCTTGCTGACAACGTTCAGGGGACCTCCCACGGGTCTTCAGAAGAAATTCAGAATCTTCACCTGCCGCAGTCTGGCTGGGCACAAAATCACGAGCCACTCAAGCAGTGAAACTGCCGCCAATGCCCCGAACGCTCCCGGGAAAATCGCAGACCGACCCACGCGGCGTTCTCCCGGACACCAACAGGAAGTCCCTCCTCCGGAATTCCCTCCTACCGCACTTCCCCAACCAATGGGAACTCTCCAGGAGACTCCAAGGTGGACAGCAGGAGTCCAATATCCATATGAATGCAGATCTTACATAATCATATCATCTCAATGGCTTGCTGGCGTCACCTTTCAACCAAAAATGCCCTGCGTCATACTACTTGGCTGTGGCTCTTAGCATTCACCATCTGGTCGGGCTCCCGCGCTCTCCAGCTTCTCCCTCGCCCACCGCCACTCCAGCAGGCTGCCCGTGGCTTCCTCAGAAGCATCCCATGGGCTCCATTGCCCTCAGGGGCTCTGCCATGCTCCTCTCTTGGCACAGCCATGGCTCCCCCTACCACCTGTCCTACTAACCACCACTCGTATTTACAAGATTGCTCAAATGTTCCCTCTTGAAGACTTCCAGGGTTCCCCAGACTCAGGTGGTATTATGGTTTGGATCTTGAATGCCCCCCAAAGGCCCATAGCTGGGAGTGGTGATGTGTACCTGTAATTGCAGTGACTCAGGTGGCTGAGACAGGAGGATGGCAAGTTGGAGGCCAGCCTCAGCAACTTAAAGGAGGCCATAAGCAATTTAGTGAGATCCTATCTCACTGTAAAAAAGGGTCCAGGAGGGGGCTCAGTGATAAAAGTGCCTGTGGGCTAGATTCCCCAGTACTGGGAAAAACAAAAACATGGTAAATAAAGACTTGGTTTGCCCATGGTGCTGGGAAGAGGTGGGGGAACCTTTGGGGGGGGGGTGCCTAGGAAGTTAGGTCATTCGGGTTGTGCCCTTGAAGGGAGTCCTGGGACTCTGGCCCCTTCCTTTGTCTCTTCACTTCCTGGCCACCACAATGTGAGCTGCTCTGTTCTGCTCCTGCCTTGATGTTCTGTCTCACCACAGACCCAAATCCAACAGAGCCAACTGACCATGGGTTGAAACCTCTGAAACTGTAAGCCAAAATAAACCTTTCCTTCTTTTAAGTTGGTTTTCTCAGGTATTCTGTCACAGTAGCACAAGCTGACTAACTTAGGCATGAAAATTTTTTTTAAGGTTTTCATGTTATATTGGAATTGATCTTCAGGGCACTTATACCAATTGTAACAAGAATGAAAATTTTCTGTCTTCCTTGGCTGTGCTTCTCAAATGGTGGTCTCTGGACTAAGAGCATCATTGTCTCCTAGGAACTTCTTAGAAAATGTGCTTTTTCAGATCCCAACTCAGACTTTCTGAATCAGAAACTCCGGGGAGAGGGTCCTGAAGTCTTCCTTTCAACAAGCTCCCTAGGTTTCAGAATCATGGACTGATTGCTCCATGTCCATGAGTAACCCCAAGAACTGGTTGTACACATGTCTGATTAATCACGAATAATGATTCAATAACCACACTTCCCTGAGCCAGCCAACCACTGCCAGCCGATTGGTGATCAACCATCACCAATAATAAAAATAAACCCCTCATTTGCATAGGGTGACCTGATCTAAGGTGGTTTTTCTAAGTTTGGTCTTCATAAATGCCCTGTAAGGTAGCTCTAACAGTTATTGCTCTCTCCGTTGTGTAGACAAATTAACTGAGGCACGTGAAGTTTAGAAAACTTGCTTAAAATCACACAGTGGCTAAATGACAAAGTTATAATAAAAGCTTTCTGACTTCTAGTCTAATATTCTATTCCGCTTGCCAGGCTGTCAATGTATATAAGCAATCCTTACCATCAAAGTGAGCTTCATGGATATTATAATTGCCCGTGCAATAAAGATAATTCAGAAATGGCCCTTCCTCTTAGAGGAGATACAAAGCTGCCTCACTTCCTAGTTCACTCCAGCTTTCTGCCCTTCATGCTAGTGAGGGGTAGCCTTGTCCCTTGATGCAGGAACATTTGTCTGACCTACCCTATGCCATCATCTTGCCATCTATCCATTTCTACCTTCCTCAGCAGAGGCAGAGAGAGTCTGCGTCAGTCCCAGAGGCTGTCCCCCCATCAGTCTATGGGGATGGAGCTCCACAGTGCTCAGCCAGCGGCAGCCTGACCAGCTCAGAAAACAGTCTCTGCTTTTTCGAAAGGCCTTATCTCAAACCTAATGTGTTTTTTGGTGTGTCTGTCACTTGTGGTATATGGCATTGCACATTTCAGCTACAAAGATTGAAAAATTCAATGCAATCACCAAGAAGTTTCAAAAGTGCTAAAAAAGAATTAGGAATTTTGAGAATTGATGGGCGTAATGGCACATGCCTGTAATCCCAGTGACTCAGGAGGCTGAGGCAGGAGGATGGCAAGTTCAAGGCTAGCCTCAGCAAATTAGCAAGGCCCTAAGAAATCTAGTGAGATCCTGACTTAAAATAAAATGGGCTGTGGATGTGGCTCAGTGGTTAAGCACATGTGGGTTTAATCCCCAATACCAAAAAAGAAAAAGAATTGAGAGAACAGAAGATGTCAAAGCAAACAAAACTGTATCTCTGGTTAAGAGTTTGAAAACTGGCTTGATTAATCCATAGTACCAAAGACTTACAAAACAGAATGTGTAGTATATAAAAATGTAATTTATATAAAAAATAAAAATGTGAAAATTCACATTTACATGTAACTCTAGTTGGCAAATAGAACCTAAGGTGAAGGGCAAACATAGCAATCCGGGAGAGATGACGGTGGCATGGAAGTAGTAGGTGGCATTATAAGTGCACAATGAAGGCTGAATTCCAGATATATCAGGGCGGAAGGATTGACATGAGTTGGTTGGAGGTGGGAGGCAGAAAGGCTTCCGGAAGCATGAACAAAAAGCATCAGAGCAGGAGGGTTCTTTGGATGTGGCCCGTAACAGGAGGGGGAGGGAAACGGGCTCATTCCGATGTGTGCTGAAGCTGAGTGCTCCTGAGACGTCCAGGTGGAGGAGTCAGGAAGACAATCCAATGTTCAAGTCCTGCTAGCCTCAGTACAGAGGTAGAAGTTGTCACCTGCCATGTATCAGCTGAGACTAAGGCCACGGGGAAAGGTAAGGCAGCCTTAGGAAATAGTACAGAGTGAAAAAAATAAAATTTTCTGAGACCTAAAGGCAAATATTTGACTTGACATAACATTTTAGCTTTGTTGAAAAATCTGTGTCTATAGCCCCAGCTACTCAGGAGGCTGAGTGGGGATGATTGCTTGAGCCCTTGAATGTGAGACATGCCTTAGCAACACAGAGAGACCCTGTCTTTAAAAATCTAAATATTTTTTTAAAAAATGGTTTGAATTGAAGAGTATAAAAAACTGCATGTAGATAATTACCCTTTTTGTTGGTACTGGGGGTTGAACCCAGGAGTACCACACAGCCACATCCCCAGCCCTTTTTTATATTTTATTTTGGTGCTTAGGGCCTTGCTAAGTTGCTGAGGCTGGCGTTGAACTCACGGTCCTCCTGCCTCAGCCTCCCAAGCTGTTGGGATTACAGGCGTGAGCCACGGCACCAGGCTCAGCTAATTACAACAAACTGTAAAGATATGTTTTATGTAACACCTTGGTAGCAACATTGGAAATACGTTTTGATAACAGAGACGTGAAAAACTGTTAGGATGACTGAAAAACCTTGTCTTAGGATTATTCTTACTATCAAGATAATTTTACTGTTAAAATGTCTCTTTGCCTTCCTCATTATGCCACAGGAAAGAAAGTGAACTAAGAAGCTAGAGAAGAGATAATGTAATTCTCTTGGGGAAAAATTTTCTAGTGGCTTAAATAGGGAGCTGTGGGCTGGGGGTATAGCTCTATGAGGCCCTGAGGTCAATCCTGAGCACTGAAAAAAAATGAATAAAGAACTTAACTTATTATATTAAGGAAACGTGACAATAAAATCTGTGTTATGAACAAACCACTTTTCACATAAAATTGACCAGAAGTACATCTAAAATTGGCTCCAAGATAGTATTTATAACATTAGAATAATGTATATCAACATATCTCAAAGTTTTGGTAAGTAATCTGTCTATTTAAGCCATTATTTCCCAAACTTAAAAACAAAATAAAACAAAAACATTAGCCAACCTTTGCCTCTTGGTTGCACTGTTTAACCCGTTTACATTTAATGTAATGATATACATTAAATGCCATTCTGCTGCTGCTTTCCATGGCTTAGTCCATTAGTGTTACTGAAACAAAATGCCTGAGACTGTGTAATTTACAAGCAACAGAAATTTACTTCTTACAGTGCTGGAGTCTGGAAAGGCCAAGATCAAGGCACTGGCAGGTTTGGAGCCTGGTGAGGGCTGTTTTTTGCTTCCAAGATGGTGCCCTGCTATTGTGTCCTCTAGATGGAGGAGCACTGTATCCTCATATGGCAGAAGAGATGAAAAGACAAAAAGGGACAAATGCTATGTCCCCAAATGATAGAGGAAATGGAAGATCTGGCCTCGCCCCTGGAGCCCATTTAGAAGTCACTAATCCCACTCATGAAGGTGGAGCCCTTGGAGTTTAGTTGCTTCTTAAAAGGCCCACCTCTTGCTGGGCGTGGTGGCACATGCCCACAATCCCAGTGGCTCAGGAGACTGAGGCAGGAGGATTACAGGTTCAAAGCCAGCCTCAGCAACTTAGTGAGGCTGCAAGCAACCTAGTGAGACACTGTCTCAAAAAATAAAATAAAAAGGGATGGGAATATATAGCTCAGTGATTGAACTTACCCTTGAGTTCAATCCCCAGTACAAGAAAATTAAATAAAATAAATTTAAAAATTAAAAGTTCTACCACTTAATACTGTCGACTGGGGATTTAAGTTTCAACATGAATTTTAGAGGAGACAAAAAATTCAAATAATTGCAGGTCTCATGTATTTTGGCTTTTCTATCCTTCTATTTCTGCCTTCTTTGTTGTTGACTAGATATTTTCTAGTGTATCACATTGATTCCCTTTCTCTCCTTTTGCTCTATTTTAAAAGCAACAGAAATTTAATTTAATTTTTAGTGCTTGCCCTAAGAATTACAAATAACATCTTAATTTATAGCAATCTAGTCTGAATTAATACTAACTAAATTCCCATAATATAA